ATAAGTTGCAAATGTTTTCTTTCATTCTATAGTTTACCATTCCACACTGTTGAATATGTCCTTTCATGCACAAAAGATTTTAATTTTGATGAAGTGTAATATATCTATTTTTTCTTTTGTTTTGCATACTTTTACATTCATATTCAAAAAAATTGCCAGTATTCCAGGCATGGAAAGCCAAGACACTGCGGCAAAAAAAATATGACCTAAATGAAAGATCTCCATGAGTGAGATCCCACGAAAGAATGGGCCATCAAGGAAGGAGGTACCTTTCTCTGAAGGGAGAAGAGAACTTCCACTTTAACTATGGCCTTATCTAAATAAGATCGGAGTTGGCGAACTCAAAAGGCTTCCATAGCCTTGGCAACTCATGACAAGAGCCTCGGATGATTACTGACGCCATAAACAAGAGTGTCAATTGTTAAGTCAACAACAGGAGTCACTGTGCACTTACTCCCCATGTAGGATCTCTGTCCTTAATGTGTTGTACTATGTGAATTAACGGTATAACTAGTACTTGAACAGTACTTTGCACTTTGTGTTTCTGTGTGGGTGCAAACTGTTGAAATCTTTACTTAGTATATACTAAATTGATCTTCTGTATATAAATAGAATTGAAAATGAATCTTGATGTGAATGGGATGGGAGAGGGAGCGAGAGATGGGAGGGTTGTGGGTGGGAGGGAGCTTATGGGGGGAAAAAGCCACTGTAATCCAAAAGCTGTATTTTGGAAATTTATATTTATTAAATAAAAGTTTAAAAAAAATCATGATTTTTTTTTGCTTCTTTCTACTAAGAACGTTATAGTTTTAGCTCTCATGTTTATGTCTTAGATTCATTCTGAGTTAATCTATGTATATGGTTTAAGGTAAGGGTCTTACTTCATTTTTCCCAGCCTTAATTACTAAAAAGATTGTTCTTTTCCTATTAAATCAGCTTAGCATCATTGTTGAAAATAAATTTACAGTATTAGGGGACTTTAAAAAGGTCATTAAATATGTAAGAGATGATTTTATTTGAGTGTCAAAAATTTGAAATCAATTCATGCAAATTGTCTAGAAAATCCACAAAAATGCGTATCAAAAGGAATTATGTAGTTGTAGTCTGATAAGCTTAACTGTTAATTCTTTCCATGAATTTTTTGAAGAACTTTTGTCTATATAAAGGTTTACTAATAGGCTCTCTATTCTATTTATGTGTCTCACTGGAGCATACCAAATCATTTAAAAGATCCTCTACCAATAAGGAATTTATAATTTCTTCAGAGAGTTAAAATATTTACATATTAAAATTTCCATATGACATAAAGGGTCATAGAAAATAGGGAGAATTTTGAAGTAAGGAAGGGAAGTTTCACAGTGATAAAAAAGAGTTGGAAGAGAAGGTGAGCATTTAGCTGATCTTTATCAATAGGAAGTACATGTTTAGAAAGTGATTTACAGATTCAATGCAAATCCTATCAAAATAACTATGACTTTTTTTTCCTGACAGGCAGAGTTAGACAGTGAGAGAGAGAGAGAGACAGACAGAAAGGTCTTCCTTTTTACATAGGTTCACCCCCAAGTGGCCGCTACAGCCGGCGCACTGCGCTGATCCGAAGCCAGGAGCCAGGTGTTCGCTCCTGGTCTCCCATGGGGTGCAGGGCCCAAGGACTTGGGCCATCCTCCACTGCACTCCCTGGCCACAGCAGAGAGCTGGCCTGGAAGAGGGGCAACCAGGACAGAATCCAGCGCCCCGATCGGGACTAGAACCCAGGGTGCCGGCGCCACAGGCAGAGGATTAGCCTAGTGAGCTGCGGTGCTAGCGACATTTTTCAGAGATCCAAGAAATAACACAACTAAAATTTGTATGAAATCTCAAAATAGCCGAATAATCTTGAGGTAAAAAGAACAAAACAGAAATCATTGCACTATCTTACTTTAAAATATATAATAAAGTCGGAGGCGTTTAGACTAGTGGTTAAGATGACAATTAACAATTGTCCATCACATACGCAGTGCCCGAGTTAGAGCAAGCTCTGCTCTGGCCTGGGAGGCAATGCTGATGGTTCACATGATTGAGTTCCTGCCACCCATGTAGGGGATCTGGAATGAGATTCTGGTTCCTGGTTTTGGCATGTTCAGTCCTGGTCATTGTGGGCATTTGGGAAGCTCTCTCTCTCTCTCTCTCTCTCTCTCTCTCTCTGCCTCTCAAAAAATAAACAGCATTTAAAATATATTACAAAGCTACAGCAAATAAAAGAACACAGTATTAAAAGAGACACATAGACCAATGGAACAGAATAGAAATAATAGACGTAAATCCATCTATCTTCAGCCAGCTAATCTTTGCCAAGGTTGCTAAGGTATGCATTGGAAAAAGGATAGTTTTTTCAATAAATGATGCTGTAAAAATTAGATATCAACATGGAGAAGAATGAAACTATACACCTATCTCTTACCATGTACAAAAACCAACTCAACTCAAAATGGATTAAACATCTAATTGTAAGGATGAAACTTAGAAAATACCAGAGGAAAACATATGAGAATTTCTTCAGGACATTAGAGTGAGCTAGAATTTTTTTATAATGTCCCCAAATATAGGAAATAAATGTAAATATAGATAAACGTGATTATCGAAATTAAAGCTCTTGAACAGGAAAAGAAATGACCAACAGAGTGAATGGATAACCTGTAAAATGGGAGAAAATATTTACAAGTCATGTATATGACAAGGAGTTTATTAACGGAATCTGTGTTAAGTATAAATATAAATCGGCCAGCGCCGGCTCACTTATCGAATCCTCCACTTGCAGCTCCTGTACCCCGGGTTCTAGTCCCGGTTGGGGCGCCAGATTCTGTCCCAGTTGCCCCTCTTCCAGGCCAGCTCTCTGCTGTGGCCAGGGAGTGCAGTGGAGGGTGGCCCAGGTCCTTGGGCCCTGCACCCCATGGGAGACCAGGATAAGTACCTGGCTGCTGCCATCGGGTCAGCGCGATGCGCCGGCTGCAGCGTGCCAGCCACGGCGGCCATTGGAGGGTGAACCAATGGCAAAGGAAGACCTTTCTCTCTGTCTCTCTCTCTCACTGTCTAACCCTGCCTGTCAAAGAATAAAAAATAATATATATAAAAATATAATTCAACAGCAAAATAAAATACATTCAAAAAGTGGTCAATAGAACTAAATACACATTTCTTAAAGGAAGATAAACTAATGGTCAACAGGTAAATGAGTAAATTCTCAATATCTCACATCATCATGGAAATGCAAATCAAAACCACAATGAATGAGCAGACATTTGATCTATTGGTTAAAATACTGTTTGGGATACCTGCATCCCATATCAGACTGTCTGGAATTGACTTGTGCCTCCACTCCTGACTCCAGGTTCCTTCTAATTTGTACCTTGGAAGGCTTGGGTTCCTGCAACCTACATGGAACATTAAGATTGAATTCCCAGCTCCCAAATTCAATTTGGCCCGATCCTGGCTATTGTGGGTGTTCGGAGAATGAATTGTAGATGAGAGCTCACTCTCTCTCTCTCTTTCTCTCTCTCTCTTCCTCCCTCTGTCCCTCCCTACCTCCCTACTTCTCTCCCTTCCTCTCTCATATTAAAAAAAAAAAACCAAGCAATTAAAAAACATAATGAGATACCACCTTACTCCAGTTAGATTGGCTTTTATCAAAAAGACAAAATATGACAACTGCTGGTGAGGATATGGAGAAAAGTAAACCCCTGTACACTGTTGGTGACCATGGAAATTACAGACATTGTGGAAGGCAGCATGGGGATTCCTCAAAAAAACCAAAAGTAGAACTACCAGATCCAGCAATCCCACCAATGGGGATAAATACATCCAAGGGAAGTGAAATCAGTCTATCAAAGTGACATCTGTACTCTCCTATTTATTGCATCATTCCATAAGAGTTTATATTAGATTTATTTATTTGAAAGGCCGAGTTACAGAGAGCAAGGGAGAGGCAGAGACAGAGAGAGTGAGAGAGATTGATCTTCCATCCAGTGGTTCAATCCCCAAATGCCCATAACTTCCAGGGTTTTGTCAGGGTGAAGCCAGGAGCCTGGAACTCCATCTAGAGCTCCCATAAGGATGACAAGGGCGCAAGTACTTGAACTATCTTCTACTGCTTCTCCAGGTGCATTAGCAGGGAGCTGGATTAGAGGTGGAACAGCTGGGACTTGAACCAGCACCCATATGGGATGCTGGCATTGTAGGCAATTGCTGAACGTGCTACACCACAAAATCAGTCCCCACAAGAGTTTATAAAAGGAAACAGTTTCAATATTCACAAAATGATGAATGGAAGGATTTTTGAATGTTTTCACCATGAATAAATGGTAAATGAGGAGACAGATATGTTTACCCTCATTGGACATTATCCATATACACATGTGTGAAAACTTCACATGGCAGTCCATTAATATGTACAATTTTTATGTGTCAAAGATTCAAAAAATATTTAAAAATATAAATAGATAAAAGAAGAAAAGGCTGAGAAGAATAAAAATTCCTGTCCAGGCAGATGTATAGTGAGAATAAACACAAGATGATTTATAGCATGTTTAAGGGCATGGCATGAAGTATGGAATTTGTCTATGTAATCAAGAGTGATTGACTAGTATGTCTGTCCTGTTTCAATCAAGGAAGATAGAGCATTGAAGCAAATTGCTTGCTTTGGCTCCTATGAATAGATAATCTATATTCTTCCAGTCTAAAAAATTCCTCATCTTTTGTGTGCTTCGATAAATCATAACTGATAATTAACCTTTTTAATTAATGATCTCACAAGATGAACACCTAGTACTGGTTAAACCATTATGGAAGTTTTTATGTTTTGTTCCTTATATCCACTAAAATGAGAAAGCTATATCTTGAAGCTTGGCACTTCAGATGGTATAACCATGGGAGAGTTGATTTGTTAAAGTTGTGTGAGGGAGAATATGTGAGTGATTTCATTCCTTAATACCCAGTATAAAAAGTTCTATCACTTTTTCACCAAGATGGCACTGAAGACGAAGAAGGAAGCTCCTGCCCCTCCCAAAGCTCAAGCCAAAACAAAGGCTTTCACAGCCAAGAAGGTAGTGCTGAGAGACATCTACAGCCACACACACACACAAAATCTGCATATCACCCACATTCCAGTAGTCCAAAACACTTCATCTCTAATGACAGCCCAATTATCCTCAGAAGAGCACCCCCAGGAGAAGCAAGCTTGACTGCTATGCCATTGTCAAATTCCCCCTGACCACTGAGCAGGTGATGGAGAAGATAGAACACAACACCACATTGGTGTTCATTGTGGATGTCAGGGCCAGCAAGCACCACATCAAACAGGCTGTGAAGAAACACTGTGACATTGATGTGGCCAACGTCAACACCCTGATCAGACCGATGGAGTGAAGAAGGCCTATGTTTGGCTGGCTCCTGATTATGATGCTTTGGATGTTGCCAACAAAATTAGGATGATCTAAACTGAGTCCAGCTAGGTAATTCTAAAAATATGGTGCTTTTCATCATTAAAAAAATTCTATCAATCCAAAGACACTTCACTTCTCTTTAACTTGCAAACTTGAAGGATCACTTTTAAATTTTATTGCTGATGGTAGGTCTTGCCAGAACTCTCTCACAATAATTATTCCCACAATGTCTAATGAAACTTTTATATAAGATAAACACAATCACACTTACTGACATAAAACAGTGGATGGTTTCTAGTAGCTTACACCTGTTTTGGGAGAAATCAATTCAGAAATGTCTTTTGTTAATCTTCTGGTAGTTTAATTTAGAGATAGTTGACATAATGTATTAAAGTGTAAACAGAAATACCACATGTCAACCAGTAAGGCCATTTGAAAATGTTTAAGAATCTTTTTTTCTCAGTATTAATCATTTCAAAGACGCATTTATTATTTATCTTAACTTTGTGAGAAAGAGAATAGCCATGGGGCCTGCGCTGTGGTGTAGCTGGTAAAGCTGCCACCTGCAGTGCCGGCATCCCATATGGACACCAATTCAAATCCCGGCTGCTCCACTTCTGATCCAGCTCTCTGCTATAGCCTGGGAAAGCAGTAGAATATGGCTAAATTCCTTGGGCCCCTGCACCCGCGTGGGAGACCCAGAAAAGGCTCCTGGCTCCTGGCTTCGGATCAGCACAGTTCCGGCCGTTGTGGTCAATTGGGGAGTGAACCAGTGGATGGAAGACCTCTCTCTATCTCTGCCTCTTCTCTCTCTGTGTAACTCTGATTTTCAAATAAATAAATAAATAAATAAATCTTTAGAAAAAAGAAAGAATAGCCATGACAGTCATATTCACTTTGCCTTATAAAATCAGTTAAGGAATAAAGGGATGGGTTCAAATACTTTCAAAAAATGAACTGGAACATTATGCACACCTTATGAAACCAATACCAACATGGTCACACGTTTCAGATTTCCTGTCAAGGGGGAGCAAAAAAATTGTTTTTAAAATATTATTTTCAGTAAATAACTGTTGAACATCCAAGGCAGCGATGAATCATTTTTCTACAAATACTCCAGATTAAAAGTATCTTTTACCACTGTTGAATGATAATCATGAGGATGCTATCACTTTAAAAAAAAAAGACGCCAACATTTTGAAAAGCAAAGGAGTTTCATGTTGACATTATCTATTTAAAGTCCAGGCACACTCCCGCAGGAATTCACCTTCTAGTGAGTTTATACATTTAAAGGAAATAGCAGATTTGAAATGTCCTTGCTCCTCTCATGTGGGCAATAGAGAGCCACAGCTGCTGGAGGGTCTGGTCTCAGCCACAGAAGTCTTTTTCTCTGCTTCCAACCCACACATTCATTGTCTGAGTGGCAATGAGCCAGAAACAGGGCTTAATCATTGTCAAAGCCAGGTGTTCTGTTCATGAGTGTACGTGATGCCAGGTTTTGAGTATCCCCTGCTTAAGACTTAGTAAAAATATATAGAAGACTTCATTCATCAGAATAAGGCAAAGATTAGAAATAGTGTCTGAAATAATGGTGGGGACCATAGAAGGAATTTGTATGGCCACAGAAGCAGGGATTAAATCTTCATTAATCAGACAAACAGGCACCCTGTTCCTGAAAAGCCTCAATTTCACTTGCAGGAAAGGAGTATTTAAAGGGCTGTGGCCTGGACCATCTTTCTCACATTTCAGACCCACAATAGCAGCTTTCTAAGCCTTGTCTTACTGGAACCAGCAACCACAGAGAGAATTGGGTGTGTTGGAATTGCCATATATAGCCTGTGTCATTTATGTGTGTTTTGTTTGTGTCAATTTCTTTCAAATAGAGCATGGCCAGTTGCCTTTTGCCAAAATAACTAGTCATAATGTTTTCTCAACCTATCACATGATGGGGTGACACAAAAATACTTTTTCTTTCTTTTTATGGTGTTGAGTTTTGCAAGGATCAATACAAACAATAAAGAAATGAAATAGCAGCTACATCCCATAAGGGAAGAAGCCAAATAAATTGAGTGCTTGATTTTGTTTCTAAAATCACAATTATTGCTGCCACCTATGATTGCCCATGGCTTTCTGGCCAGCAGAAATAGAAAACTAAGGTGCCAAGTCAGAAGCATGTGTTCATACTTAGTCTTAATAGCTGGTTCACCTGAGACTGATCTGAAAGGCAACTTCTGGGCATACATCCAGTAAGATACTAGGAAAGGCCTAATGAAAGACATAAAGAGACCTTTGGCAGGCTATGCAGAGATCACCAGCAGAAACCACAGGTCCGGTGGCAGCTTCCTCCTATTTCCTCCTACGTACATTGGGGATGCAGAATGAATAGATCAGTTTTTACCTCTCTAATTCAGAGCCCGCAAAATTGGTGGTCATTATATTGTCACACTAATAGTTTATTGGTTGTATTTGAGCTTCTCTTCTTTGTTTTATTCTCTACTATCATCTTTCCCAGATTTCCGAATCCAAGAGAAAATTCTTTCTTTTGAGAGAGTGGGGTAGGAGAATGTAAAAACTCAGCTTCCTTTTTGAGCTTTGATGTTGTACATACACACATTTAAAACATGAATTTTGACTTTTCACGGCTTCCAGACAGGGCTAGTTTTATTTAAGCAACTACACACCAGGTCTGAGTGCAGAGGAGTCAGAAAGGATTTATTGTCTTAAAACACAAGCCTACAGTGTATCAGAAATGTATGGCCACAGTAGAGATTATTTTATAGAACCCTTAGCTAGCATCAACTTTTTATTTTGCTAAATGGGGACATTAAGAAAAAGAATACACGAAACAAATACATGCTGTCACAATTTTTATAGTAAGTAGAATTAACATCAAAAAGTATTAAAAGCAAGCATTCTAAATAAATCTCTAAGTTAAATATAGCTCCATAAAAAAGGAAAAATCCTGGGGTCAGCGTTGTAGTGTAATGGATAAAGCCTCCTCCTGCAGCACCAACATCCTATATTGGTGCTGGTTTGTGTCCTGGCTGCTCCACTAATGGCCTGGGAAAAGCAGGAGAAAATGGCCCAAGTGCTTGGGTCCCTACCATCCACATGGGAGACCTGGAAGAAGCTCCTGGATCCTGGCTTGATCCTGCCCCAACCCTGGCTGGTTGTGTGGTCATCTGGAGAGTGAACCAGCAGATAGAACAACTCTTTCTTTCTCTGTAACTCTGATTTTTCAAATAAATAAATAAACATTTTTTTAAAAAGGGAAAAATCCCATGCATATCCCATGCATCTTTTTTTGTAATTTACCTTTCAATTTTTATAATATTACTGAAAACTTGTTCATAGACCAATACTGTTTCATGGAAAAGTAGATCTTCCATTTCTCTCTTTCTTCCATCCATATGTGATATATGTATGTGTGTATATGTAATATATGTATATATGTAAACATATTGATATACGTGTTTATATATTTTATACAGGTTGAGAGAAATATTTCCTGAAGTTTATATGTATGCAAAATATCAAAATGCATATGTATACTATATATATAATATATATATAAGTACATATAATATTGGTATACAGGACATAACTGCTCTAGCCTTCCTTCTAGTGAGTCATTTATTTATCCAATTACATGATCTAGTTTTGAAGTAATATCTTATTTCAAATATGAATGAAGAGTGAGATATTTTTAAAATGGGAAAAGATGCACTATACAAATCATTTTTCTCTGTCTCTTCCTGTCATTTTGAACATTCTGCTATTCATTTATATTCCAATTTTAAAGTAAATAATATTTAGTATGTAAAATTTCACAAAATTTGTAAAGGACTAAAAGTGGGAAATATGACTCATAATTCTATCATTTTGAAGTGACTTAACAGTCTTTGTATGGTCTTCTCTTGTTTCAAATAATTATATTTCATGTAGTAGTATACATATTGCATGTACTGTATTGGATCTTGCTTTTGTCACTTGATAAAAATAAACATGGATATAGTTAATTAATTAAAACCATTGATATTATTTCAATTAGCTTGTATTATTTTAAAGTATGGATTTAATATAATTTACTTCAGTGATTTCCCAGGCTAATAACTTAGTTATGATTTCTTGTTATTGTAAATACCATTGCAGTGAATAGATTTGTATTTAAAGCTTGTTTATATTTCATATTATTTTCTTAGGATAGACTCCTCAAAGTAAAATTACTCAAGTAAAAGCTATAAGCATTATACAGTCCCTTGTAAAATATTGTCAAGTTACCTTAAAGTGGTTTTAACTTATTTTCACTTAACTATCCAGAACATAGAGAAAGCTGTATCTGAGTAGATGAACACTTTAAAATTTCTTGAGTATGTGTTCTGTTATTATATAGCATGCCGGATTATTAGCATCTCTATATTTGGAAGGTTGGCAATTTGACAAGAATGAAACTTATCAGGCTGCTTCTTTTTATAGAGGAGACAATAGTGGTGAATGATTCTTATTGCTAAGTACTTCTAAGAATGCATGAAAGAGCTCTCTACTCCATGTAGTGGACACTTGTATTTACTGGTAAGGTTCAATTGTATTTCAATAGCTGTTTTCTTCTTTTTTCAACCATGCAATTGTTTTGGATGCTCTGCATCAGACATGTCTAGTAGGTGTTCTGATCATTTCATGTTCTGTGTCTCAAATGGAATTATAGTGATCTTTAAACATATTAGAAGTATATATCAGAATGAATGTCCTACTTCAAAGAAAAAATTGAGTGATTTCACACTTAATCCAATTAGGCTGTCAATACTCTGAATGTAGGTAGAAATCCTGTAAATGACCTTCAGAGCTATGTCCACACTTCATACTCTAATATCAATGTAGCTTTGCTAGTTATTTTTAACTCATCTAAATTTTAGACCAAGTTATGACAAGAAATAAAAATATATCCATATCTCAGTGCTTTAAAGTATCAAAAATATATTACAG